GTATTAGAATAATCTACACCATATGTCCGAGCATACCCTTTTGTAACTAATTGAGCTTTGAGACGAGCCACGTAACCGTCGGGATTAACCTTGATAGCATACACTCATTTACAACTAATAACTTGTTTACCTTTTGGGAGATGCACCAATTCCTAAGTACCATTATTATCTAAAGCCATCATTTCCTCCTTCATAGCAGTCCGCCAACCAAGATGGGACAAGGCCTCATACAATGTTCTAGGTACGAAATCGAATCTAACGAAGTAATAAAGCAACGCAAAGAAGGGAATAAGTGGTTATAAGAAACCAATGAAGAGATAGGATGAGAACATTGACGTTTACCTTTACATAGAGCAATGGAAAGATCAAGACTAGGATTTGTAGAGGAAAGAGTCGGCGAGAGGATGTGAGTTCGATTTGGTAGTAGATTTCGTGGATGAGTACAACGAGAGTAAACTTAGGTGATAGGTGGTTTAATGGGTATATGAGATCCAAGTAGTGCCTTTGTGACCATGAAATTTAGTAGTTGTAGTCACAATATATATCGAATATCATCTTTCTCTCTCTCATAAGTAGGTTCATGAAAAAATGAAGTAGTCTCAAAAAATATTACATTAACCGAAATCAAATAATGATCCAAAATAAGAGAATAACACTTGTAACATTTCGAAGATGAGAATACCCTAAAAAGACGAGTGATTTTGGATCTTAGACACTTTGGGATTAACATCACGAATAAAACACATATAACCAAAGACATTTGGTTCAATTGGAAATAAAGACGGAGAAAGGAATAAAATAGATTGAGGAGTATCACCGGGAAGAACAAAGGAGGGTAACCGATTGATTAAGAAACATGTTGTAGACACGAGCATCAACCCGTAATTATTTTGGAACTTTCATCCGGAAAAGAAGGGATCTAGCAACCTCTAGTAATTGTCTATTTTTTCGTTCAGCAACATCATTTTAAGATGGTGTGTTAATGCATGATGATCGATGAAGAATTCCACTATGTCATATAGGTATTAAATGACTCGAGAGAAATATTCTTTTGCATTATCACTCAAAACACGTACTCGAAACATTAAACCGAGTTCGAATTTCAGCACAAAAAACACAAAATATAGAGAACAATTCAAATCGACTTTTTATTAAATATAACCAAGCAACACAGGAATAGCCATCAACAAATGTGACAAAATATCAAAAATCAGTTGTAGAAGTTATTGGACAAGGACTCCAAACATCGGATTGAACTAATTCAAAAGGTGATATAACCCATTTATTGACTTTAGGAAAATACGACACACGATGATGTTTAGCAAACCGACAAGACTCACATTTTAAAGCGGATAAATTCGAAACCGAGTAAACAGCTTTTTTAAAACAAACAAAGAAGGATGCCCTAGTCGACAATGCTACTCAAGAGATGTTATAATATTGGAACAAATGATAGGTCGTATAGGTTGTGATATAGGTTGAAGATGATACAACCCTCCGGATTCACGTCCTCTACCAATAATCTTCCTCGATGTAAGATCCCGAAATAGATAATAGTCGGGAAGAAAATGACAACAATTGAGAGCCCGAGTGATTTTACTAATCGACTATAGATTAAATGAAAATTTGGGTAAACATAAGACAGATAACAAAGAGAGAGATGATGTAGGAAGAAGTCGTTCCAATTCCTATAACGGATGTGGTTGACCCATAAGTCGAGTGAAACTAGAAAGATTTTTGTGTGAAACAAAAGAGGAGAGAATATCTTTATTACTCGTCATGTGATTCGTAGCACTCGAATCAACGACCCTTTTGAAAGAGGATGACATGACATGTAGTAGGTTTACTCGTCTCATCACCGATAGCTGGAGGTGGATTGTAAGACTTTATTGAGGATTGATACCGAGTAAATTGAGCAAAGTTATCAACGGACACCATTATAGACTTCTTAGACGAGGAAGAGGTAGGACTAGCCTCTTGGGTTGCAAAGTTTACGGTATGAACTCGACTTTTGGGTTTTTTTCATGAAGTTTTCAACATGTACGTCTTGTGTTACCGGGATCTCCAAAAAAATAGCATGTTATTGGGCTATTTTGATCATTCTCGTCCGCAACTGCAATTTCCTCCATAAGTACCACTCTTAACACCTTGAAAACCAAAATTATTTTGGCCACCTCTACCACTTCAACCTCCCGCATTCCAACTACCTCGACTCACAAGGGCACTAGTAATACTAGAAGAAAGTTGAGATGTCTTTGTACGTAAGATTTTAGTGAAGGTATCATGAAGAGAGACAACTTCGCACTAGAAAGGATTTGTGTGCGAGTAGCATAAAATTTGGGTGGTAGGCTCGCAAGAAACTCATGACAGCTATCTCGCTAACATTGAGTTTGTTAGGCCTTCACATCGGTACCAAAAGGAAGGAGAGAATTCAACTCTTTATAAACCCACTTGAAATTCATAAAATATTCAATTAGGGTTCTATCTTGCTTTTTTGGATGATAGAACTCTTTACATACATTATAAATATGAAAAAGATTATCCTTATCAAAATATAAAAAATGCCAAATAATACATAAGATTTTTAACAAATTCGCAGTGACTAATCGGACCAATTACCTAATTGTTAATGGAGTTTTGAATCTGCAGATATATTCTAGCATTTGCTCTCAACCAAGCCTTCTTTTCCACATCATTAGTTGGGGGATCATCGGTAAGATGATTGTCTTGATCAATACTCCAAAGATAGACGCGCATCGTTTTATTCCAATCTAAAAAATTTTGCCCATTGAGTTTATGTTTTGTAATCTTTGTTGTTGTAGTAACAACATCGGAGATCATAGTTTTCTTCTCGGTTCCGTCAGCCATTAAACGAACGAAAGGGAGAAAATTGGGCAGCAAGGTTGCAATGGCTCACTAGGGCAGCATTGGAAAGAGAAAAAAAAATGTGGTAGCTCACTAGCGCAATGGCCGCAGCTGCTCAATTAGGGCAGCAGCTCGATACCATGTAGAAATATGAGAATAAAACAATAGTTTCACTCCTTAAAGTGCATGGGTATAACATGTATATATATAGGTTTAGGATCGGTGTAAATCCCTAGAATCAAGTTGTCATTAACTTTCTAGAAATCAACGCCTCAATCGGTCCTATAATTGACGGACCTATAGTTAACTTACTATATTTACAGGAGAATCAATCCTATAGTTGACTTAGTATATTTACAACAAGAATGAACAATCCACAACCTTAAACTAGACCAAAATCATACTCTTTTAAGTCTTTCCTATCACATAGAATAAGTGCTCCTTTTATAGGTACCAAAAGCTCGAATAGTACAAAATTAAATAGTAATAGGATTCCTAAAGAAAAGAAATTCCTAAATGGACAAAGTTTACAAGAAAAACTAGAATATAGAGGATTGAAAGTCAAAATGAGGCAATTCAGAAATTTCTTCTCTTTGGTGGCTACATTTCTACCATTGGTTAGATAAAACTCGATCTTGAGTTTTAAAATTAGAATACATATTGTGATATGAAAACTTAGTTTGGAGAAAGCAAATTATGTGTGTTTTATAGCAGAAAGAAATAAAAAGGAGGGGGTTCGCTTTAGGTCTGATACCAATAGACGTAGATCAACTGGATTAGTGACTTTCTAAGTATTTATGGTGAGTCAGATCTGGAGAATTAGGGATTTAGGATTAGGGTTTTACTCTAGCAAGAGAGAAATAGAAGAAAATAGTGCTAAGAGAAAAAAGAAGAGAAAGAAGTTCATTGCCTTCTCCCATCTTTCTTGACTTTATGATGCTCAAATTTCAAGTTCTTACATCATGCAAAGTGGCAATGTTTCTTAGGATTTTATACCAGGTAGATAGAAACTAAGGGTCTTATTTTGTTAATTCGTCTTTTTTACTCTTTGAAGACACATGGGTGAGGTCATGGCAATTTTTCATTTTACGTATTTTTATTTTGTTAATTGTATTTGAAAGCCATGGTGCCATCTAATGTTCAGGCTTTTGTGCGGTTAGTGGTTATTATATAAAAAATGTAGATGAATTACTGTAGGTGTAAAATGATCAATAAATTTTAGAAGATCCTCTTCATTAAAGAATTCTATCCTGCACACAGATAGTGCAATGACTTCAGCCATGAAATTGTCAAAAGAGGCAAGAGAAATCGCTTCTTCCTCAAATGCTATTTTTCCTAATGATTAACCAAAGTCTCATTGTTCATATATGAAATAGTTAACAATCTCCACAAGTTTGGACCTTTAGGAATGCTAAATATTGATTTCCTGCAGCTTGTTATAATTTCACTTCCTCTTTTTGAGTCAGGAAAAATGCCAAGCTGCGTACTTCGTTGTGGTTCTACATCATCTAAGATCTGTAGTGATCTCTGTCCGAGGAACTGAGACCCCTGAAGACCTCATAACAGATGGTTATGGCAGGGAATGCCTCCTTTCTAGACAAGACTTGGATGGGTTGATAAAGCATGTTCTCTTTCTCTCTCTTCCCACATACACGCACACACACATGCTGTATTGTGTGAAAACTAACTATGCTTCTGGAAAGAAGTTTTGGTTATTTATGGCATTTTGCTAAAAGAATTAGTAAATTTATGCATCTTTGATTCAATAAAATACTCTGGAGTTCTAAATCGTATGAGTCATGAAAGAAACAGAACGGAGACTTCATTCTAAATCGTATGAGTCATGAAAGAAACAGAACGGAGACTTCATTATGATGATTTTTTCAAACTAATGACAACACTGAGTACAAATTACCAATAATGATTACACCCACTTTGCTGTGGTTAGTAATAACTATTGACGTTTTGTTTGTTTTAACTTTTTTCTGGATTCCCAATTGCATTTCATTAGGAGTTGTTCAATACAATTGGAGTCAAGAAATCATCACATCCCCTTCTTTAGCTTAACTAAGGTCTGGTCTAGCACTGTTGGAGATGTTTTTATGTCTTCTCCCCCTAACCTTTCTTTGGGGCCGATGTTGGACCTTGGAGGGGAGTGGAGGAGAGGGGTGGAGCAGTCTTTCCCGACTTCTCTATGTCTATATAATGCTATAGAACCCCAATTGATAAGTGAAACATTTATTCTTTTGCTTGCTTCTACATTGTTTTGCAGAGAACTTTAGTAACATGTGACTAATTGGGACAACCTATCTTATCAAAATAAATATTACTACTGGATTATCAATTCTATATGTTACATTCCTTTTCAGTTAACTAATACATGATACAAAAGGTGATTGCTTCTCATCTGAGCTCTTCTTCATAAACAGTATGGGAAAATTATAAACAGTAAGCTGATTCTGAATTCTAAGCTTCTATATATTATAAATGCACCTCTAGAACTTAAAGTTTTTGCATCATTGTGTAATCTTACCTATTGGCATCTTTGCTTCTTTGGGTAGATCTCTTAAAGCTCTTTTTCTAACCCACAGCAACTCCTTCTCCTCCTGATAGTCTTCCCTTTAGTTGTTTGGTTGAAATTGTTAATTGAATTGATGCCTTCATTTTTTTTTTTCATGGCTTTTGGGCTCAACTGAACAAATTGCTTCTGGTCTGAAACCTTTTTTTTTTTTAATGCTTCTTTACAGTAGCAGCCATATTCACCCTGATGTGAAGCAAAGTGTCGAATCATCTTTCCCACACTATGGGCACTCAGGCATAGTTGAGGCTGCACGTGATCTTTATATGCAAATTGAAGGAAATCCTGCAGATAATGGTAATTGGTATTCTTTTTTTCTTCATTAACCTACTTTTCTTCTCATAAATTTTTAAACCAGTCCTTTTTGACCAAATTGTCCTAAAAACAAATCCTATTACATGCTCATGCATCTAATGTTCTTTGTTATCTTAGCTTTTGTAGAAGTACCCATGTTTGAAACTTTTACATGGATAAGGGCATTGGTGTTGGTCACAAACCAAGTAGTGGAAAATTTCCTAAGCTCGGATTTTTTGTAGAGTTAATGCGTTATAAGCACCTGATATTTCATAGAGTTACGTGAGGAATGTCTTCTTAATTTCTCTGATAATACTAACCTGTGTGGCTTTGGTTCACTTTTTCCCTTTTTATTACTCATATGTGCCTTGATTATGAATGAGTATCAATTAAAATACCAGTGGAATGACCAAAACTTAATCTCACATTCTCACTAGAGAATTTGTAACATTAAGCTTCATGAAGTTTCTGTTCTCTCACTTACATATTGTAAAGTTAATAGTGGAAAAATAATAATCATTGTTCAACATCAAGCTTCATCTATTGATACCTTTTCAGGCAGCTTCTGAGATTATTGAAACTAAATTTTCTTGGTCTCTCTGTTGGTTGCTTCCTCTCTTCTTCTTTCTTTCTCTTATCTTTTTTCTCAATTGACATCAAAATGCCACTATTTTCCAAAATCTTGGTGAGGTCAGTATACATATACAGTGAGTGTTTACTTATTTATTCCTTTTTTTTTTTTTTTTTGTTTTTTGGGTGGGGGGGTGGTGGTGGTTTTTGGAGTGGGCTGTTCTTCTGGTCATGGACCTTTGTGATCATCCGTTATCTTAAAATGGGTACAATTCACTCGTCAGATCAGATTGTATGTACAATTACAAAAGATTTGTGAATTTCATGCTCATGTTTATAAAAGATTTAAAGAATGGTTTTGTGCCATCTATGCAGTCTTATGATGTGGAGTGTTTAAGGACCAGTGCATTTCCATGTTAAGGTTTCCTTTTTTTCCTTCTGCTTTCATTCTTCTGGTGCTTTTATGGGTGTTCCCATAACTGATATTCAGCAGGAGTGGGCTGCTTTAATGTGATGACGACTCTTTTCTTTTCCTTTTGTGAAGGATCACTTATTCGCTATTTAGCTTTTGTTATTCTCTTCTGTGCTTAATATATGTTTCGTTCACCTAAAGTGGAAAATTACAAAATGCCAATTGAAGTTATGAACTGCACTTCTTTACCCATTTGCAATTTGTATGGAGATACAGAATCAGAAAGCAGCTCTGGTTTCCTTTCCTCATTGCTGGGAGCTGGATGTGAGTGCGATGGATATAGTCTGCGCATAGTTGGCCATTCCCTCGGAGGTGCCATTGCTGCTTTGCTAGGACTGAGGGTATGTTTTCTACTTGAAGCAATTTGGTTATCTTCTATATGATAAGCTGTTTGTGTGGTCCTCTGCTAAAATTTTCTTATTTGATGTGCAATTATCACAAGTGGCCATTACCTGGTTTTTAGCTAAACCATTTTTATCACGAATATAAAGAAAATATTAGTGCGCCCACCGTTGTTCTTGAATTGAAACTTCTTTTTACATTGGGTTGGTGACTAAAACATGCAAGGACACATAGTTGCACATCCATACTCTCTCCCAATCCCCAGTTGGTTTGGTCATGTCGAAAAACTATTTATTTGATCACTTTATCATTTTTCTGTGTACTAGTTATATCATCGGTACCCAACTTTACATGTCTATGCATATGGACCCCTTCCATGTGTGGATTTGGTCATAGCAGAAGCATGTTCAGAGTTCGTTACAAGGTAATTAATTTCCCTCATGCCATCAGTTCCAATGCAAGTTTTCACCACTTTTCTTCCATCAAATGTTTCTGTTTTAAGCTTTGAGCTTTCTGCAGCATTGTACACAACAATGAATTTTCTGCACGGCTTTCAGTTGGATCAATCCTACGGCTTCGTGCTGCGGCAATTGTGGCACTCGCACAGGATTCCAAAACTGATACAGCCTTGATTTTTAGGCTTGCTCGTCAATTTCTCTTTGTGGGCAAGAATCAAAGAGGGAGGACTAGGGTAGTTGATCCATCAGAGCTACATTCTGCAGCCACCACAACAGAAGAACTGGATCACAAAGTCCATGTGGGTTAGTATTGATTATCTAGCTTGCCATAACGAACGGTGTGCACTTTTTTTTTTTTTTTTTATGTAAATATTGAAGAGGATCTACTAAAAGATTTTTTTGGCTTCAGGAAGCAATAAGGTGGATCAAAGCTATTCTCTCTGGAATGAATCAGACAGGACCAATAGTGGTGGTGATACAGATGATGACAATTTTGAAAATCCATTTTATGACAGTTCTGCTGTCGTAAAATCATTGGACGATCCTGTATCGCAATTTCTGGAAACTATCCCCAGATCTGAAAATGGGTCAGCTGGGGATCATGCAGAGATGTTTCTACCAGGCCTTGTGATTCATATGGTACCACAACAAAGGCACAACAGTATGCCCTTGTGGAAAGGCTGGAGACTACAAGAGAGTTCACGGAATTATAGAGCTTATTTAGCAAACAGAGATGTCTTTAAAGATATTGTTGTGTCACCAAGTATGTTCTTTGATCATCTACCTTGGAGGTATGCGCAATTGTTTATTGTTTTTTTAATCTTTTTGCCTGGAAAGATTGAAGTATATGTTATTGACCAAATCGATACTTTTCAGATGTCACAATGCCTTGAGAAAGGTGTTGGAATCTCAGAATGACAAAGGCCTGCTTGACATATCTCAAATCGTGTGAGTTACGTAGTGATATGGAACTGCAGTCCTCTTTTGTGATCTAGACTGTATTCATTTGTTCTTCTGCCATCCCGGGCTGGAGTTGCTTGTCTGACATCTAGCTGAGTAAGAGTAATGTAAAGATATAACCAAGATCTGCAGGTGGGTCTGCATGAACCAGACCCTGGACTTGGAAAAGGATAGGAGCACCAGCATGATTAATTTGTACAGCGGCGGTTGCTCTGCATTCCAATATTCATAATCAAGCTGTAGTCATTCAACAGAAAACTGCTGCGATATATTACAATCTCCACCTATTCCTTGCAAGAGGAGCATTGCTACTGTAAATTGTACACCAGATGCTGTTTAGCATTCTAAATTCCAACTCAAACTGTTAACATTGTAGCCAATCTAGAAATGATTAAAACAAAATATGATTTACACAAACTAATCGTAAAATTGTTATATATAGATGGGTCAGTGGTAAGTGGTGTCTTGAAACATTTGCTGGTCTAAGCTACATATGGCCCAGGTCTTTGATTGTTTTGGTTTTAGATTTACATCCAAATGCAAGTTGTCCCCCTTACACTGTATTTGTTTCTATATTAATGAAAATCGTCCTGTATCAAGATTGGGGGGGGGGGGGGGGGGGGGCGCAAAAAAAAAAAAGCCCAACAGAATCTCTGTTTAAATCCTTACAAAAAATTTTCTGAAAAAATGTCATTGTCTGCAAAATGCTGCTGTTATTTTTATTGCTTAGGCATCTGTTTTTGGGCGGAATCTATTATCCAATACGGATGGGGGATTTCGTTGATGAGTCGATTGAAATTTACCATACAATTGGAAGACTACTTTGAGATTTTATCCTAATTTTTAGGTTTCTATTTGGAGAGCTTTATGGTTTTCGTAGCTAAAAACTCATCGCCCAAATTCAAGTAAATTATAAATTAGTCTTTTGTTTTGCAAAATAAATTAAATAATCTTTTTAGTTTCAAAAAATGATTAAGTAGTCTCTTTTGTCCATTTCATGTAAGAAAAAAAAAGAAGATATTATAAAAAGATTGACGATAAAATTTTTTTAGGATAAATTAATATTAAATTAAGTACACTTAACACTAATTGAGAAAATAATTAATTTGTTTTTAAAACTAAGAGAATTATTTAATTGATTTTAAAATACTAAAAGTACTCATTTGTAATTTACTCCTCAAGTCCAGTGTAAACAATTCTTCGAATTTTTATTTTATTTTATTTTATTAAGGTTTCGAGACGAGACATAAAAAAAAATAAATAAATAAAAAAGAAACGTTTAAGGTGTTTTCCACTTTGAGTGACCGTCAACCATGGAGTATTGACAAAGTTTGAGTGGAGGACGTGTGTCTCCTTGGTGGTTGAAATATGGGACATAGGTGTTCAATTCGTTGCTCGTCTGCTAGGTATCTTTTGGTCACATCTTTGTCCCCCTGCCTCGATTGAATGCTACAAATTAAAAAGAAGTGGATAACATTAAAACCCTATTCCATGTCCTTTTATGAACTAAACTTATTTATGGTAAAGAAAACATGTTAAGGAACACGTTTGATGGAGAAGAAAAGTTGAAGAAGAAGTTGGAAAAGAAAAGAAAAATAGAATTCTTCATCTAAAATTCACAAATAACAACTTGCTTTGCTCATTCTCTTTCTAATGTTAGAAAAGAAGAGAAAAACTAAACAATCGGCTATAAACGAAACAACTCAAAAATAACTAATTACTAATTGAATTAGTTAGTCTTTAGTAACTTCAATAATTACACATGTGGAGGCATATGTGATTAACACATCCTCTCGATACTCTTTCTCAAAAGGAGTATGAATGTCGGCAATTTTCATTTTACCCATGAAGACTAAACTATGCGGGTAGTAAGGTCTTGGTAAATAAGTCTACAAGCTACGGTTTTATAATCCTAGTAAAAATCTTTTACGTAATGAAGTAATAATCAATCTCGATACGGTGCTTGGTGTTATTTGATAATCGGGAATAAAACAATGAGAATGAGAATGAAGGAATCGGAATGAAAAACGAGAAAATGAGAATAGAAATATTGTGTTTGGTATCTTACTATTAGGAATTGGAATGACATGCTGAAATAACTATTACTGTGTTTGGTATAGACAAATAGGAATCGGAATGATATCGTATATTTACCATCGTATCCTTCAACAACCATAATAAATTTTGTCATAAAAACAATTAAAATTTAGAAAAAGATTATATGAATATTTTTTATTATTCTTTTAAAACAAGCTAATTGTTTTACACACAAAAAGATTATATGAATATTTTTTATCAATCAAATAAAGATAATTTTTTATCATCTCTCCTTGATTATAGCTAAAAATAGTCTCTTTTTTCTTACCGAATCGCCTATTACAATCACACATTTTTCCTGGTTCTTAAAAAGGACATTACGTCTAAAAGCATTATTTGATTGATAAAAAAATGGCCTTGTGAACCATTTACGAATGAGAGACAAGGAAATACGACGACTTAAGCATGAATTATTTTTGAAAAATGAGGAAATGCGTCATTTTAAAAATCAACAAGATCTAAGAGAGAAGGAGTTTAAAAAGTTGAGGATAGCCATTCGATCGCATGTATCGATTTGGGCAACGTAGTTACAACGGCTGGTAACGCTCTTGTATATCAAAACAAAAGGGCTCTTCGAAGAAAGGAACCGAAAAATTATTTATGGAAGTAGACCTCATCTGGAGCGGTGTCATCACCAATGGACGGGATTGAAGACTCAACTTCCTAGGCAAGCAAAGATGTCATACCTCAAATTTTTGCCACTTTTAATTATTTTTCATTTATTCCAGTTTTTTTTTTGATATTCTATTTTCTTTTATTTATCATTATCCTTGCTCGGGATGAGAAGCAAAAGAAAATTCATGAATTGACTATTGAGTTGGAGAGTATCAACCAACATTGTGAAATATAAAAATCTTCGCAGTCTCGTCGGATGCCATTTTTTGTCTCCTCGAGGACATCCAATGAATTGTCTTCTCCGGAGACAATATGATGAAAATGGATGGTAGAGTCATTGGAACAATTAAATCGATATGATTTTTCTATTAATTCGATCAAAACATAAATCTTCATAAATAGGAGAGGTAACTTAGGATCAAGAAATCTCATTATTACTAAGCATTTGATCAACTAACTGCTACTCTTGTGTAAAAACAACGAGGAATAATTTTTTGGCTTTGGAATCCAACCACTTTGCGGTTTCCGGTGCTCTTTACACTAGTAAAAAGTATCAACAAAGAACCATGTTGTCATTACACCCAAGAAAATACATCTAGAACATGTCGAGAGTACAACTTGACATGCTTAAGAATAGCAACACAAATGTAATCATAATTAGGATATGGCACCAACTTTCAAATTAAAACATAAAATTCAATTCTACGGAAATATATCCAAGGCTAAAATATGCAAATAACTCGCTCATATCAATCCAAAGTATGCTATAAATGCATCTTAAATAGTGTCAAATGATTTTCCAGTCAACATATGAAGTAGACTACACTATAAAAAAATTCTTAAAAAAACATAAAATTATAAATTCAACTATCTGCTAAGTGTAGCAACAACATTGCTACAATTAATTAGTAGACCCAATCTCGATACGTGCAAACATGACCTTGTAATTATTTGGGATACTAAAAAACACTTCCACCTTCTTATCATCTTGACCAATGATGCTTGCTCGCTTTAACTAATTCAGTTGGAGAAAGTCCTTCAAGGTTCGCTAAAGTTTCAAACACTTTGCTCCTTTTTTCACTCATAACGGATGTTAATTCTTTCTCGGCTTCAACTAAACTTTTGATGGACTTTGATAGCTCTATAAACTTTGCTTGTAAAGGATCGGTTGCTTCAAATTTTCTCTTGTACTTTGATTTTCCAGCTTCGGATGAATAGGTCGCTTCTTGACTTATAAAAGCTGAATGTGTTGAGTTTGAATGCATCTCATTCATATCTCCACCATCCACATCGTTGTTAGTTTGGTTATCTACCGTAATTTCTTCTTCTCCAGGACCTCGAGCTTTGTCTCCATTAGCCCTATCTTTTGTATATATTTCACACAATTTATCAAAATAGACAAACGGCTTCATATATAATGCCGATGCTCCATCACGACTCTACATAATAACATTGTATTAATAAATTAAACATCAAAAAATTAATATTTAATAATAACTTTAAAGACAAAGGAAAAAGAAAGATGAACTTTATCTTTGCCCATCCCATAAAGACTCGATTTCTCTCATATCATCATTTTTTTTATCATAATCCCATCCAAATCCATTACCATTTTTTTGAATCTCTAATATATAACCAAGTTGCTTCTTCAATATCTTAATTTTTGAGTTAATATGCGGTTTTCCTTTAATACAACATCCTAGTAATTTTTCTTCCATAAGCTTCTCAACATGAGTAAAAAATCTATTCTTGTAACCGAGTATCCACCTTCCATTTTATGCCGACTAATTCCAAAAGGATGTCATCTAACACCAATTCTTCTTCGCTATTCCACATTCGTTTATTCCTACCCCTTCCTCGACCAAGTTCATGCTACAAATTAACTTGCTCCACTTCTGAATTTTCCATCTAACTAATAAAAGAATTGTATAAGAAAATATATATGCAAAACAATCACATACTGTTCACATCACATTTGGAATAAACAATATACATACCACCAATCAAATAATATAATTGTTAAAACATTGATAGATGAAAGCATAATAAAAAAAATTAAATTAATTAAAATCTCAATACAAAATAAAAACAATCAAATATTATCTATTTTGTCACCTAGCTCTCCATGAATCATACATTTCTCTAGCTAGATTATCCCTTCAAGAAGTCCATTGGTTTGTTGTTTCAGTAGTAGCAATATAATTTACGTTATTACTATCATCTTCTACTAAGGTATTTAAATATTACTCCATTGGGTCAAGTCTCATTTGTTGTCGAATGAGATTGTGAATATAACAACACACTAATATGACATCAATTTGTGTATCAATAGGATAGTAAGTTGGACATTTAAGTGTTTCCCAACGTAGCTTCAACAATCCAAATGTCCTCTCAATCACATTTCTTGCTGCTGAATGTTTCATATTAAAAAATTCTTCCGGCGTATTTGGTTGATGTCCGGTTCTCCATTCATTTAAGTGGTAACGTTGACCTCTATAAGGAGCAAGAAATCCTTTACAA